GGCGGGGCGCTCCCCGCGCGCCCCCCGCGCCCCCGCCTGCGGTGGGTGCGCCGCGGCGCCGAGTAGTTTCAGCCCGGTTCAGGCCCGGATCCGCGCCAGGCAGCGAGCGCCCCTCGGCCTGGCCACCATCGCGGGAGCGCCCGGGCCACGGGGGGCCCAGGCCTCAGCACCAGGGCAAGATTGCGCAGCTCCAGACCGAGGAGGACCCGGGCGCCCTCACGGTTCTCTCGGGGCGGGTCGGGAACCGGTACCCCCACCCTCAGGCTGGGAACAGGCCGGCCACACCCCGGCCTTTTCCGGGGACCTCGACCGCTCCCCTGGAGCCTCAGCACCCCCAGCCTCCTAGGGGGAAGACGCCTGCGAGTGTCCTAACAACTCATCCGTGGCCCCAGCTGTGCTGCTTCCTCCCCCTCCTTCCCCAGCAGTGGGCCTCTGGGGACCCGCCAGCCCATCTTTTAGTATCTGGAGGGGCAGGGGTGAGCCTGAGCCCCCCTCCCCGGGGCCCCACTTCTGCAATTCCAGCCCCCATCTGCCCTGGGGCCTCCTGGACTTGAGAAGAGGTGGGGACACTGGGTGCTTCTGCTCACCCTGTCTCCAACCACAGGACCCGTGTGGTGAGCAGCGCAGAGGCTGGAGACCGCAAACCCCAACCTGCACCCCGACACTGGGACACCTCCTCCCCTCTTTGGGGAATCTACCCTCCACCCAGACTTGCTCCCTCCTTGCACTCTGCTCCCCTGACCCTGGGACCTACCCCCAATGCTCAAGAACTCCCCACCAGACGGAGCCAGGATGGGAGGGTTCAGGTCTTTCAGCATCTCAGTGGCCCTTCCACCCCAACCAGCCAGGCCAGACCTTCACCCCTTCAGCCCTGAACCACATCAACAACATGACCCACCCAGCCCCCACCGCAGGGGACACAAAAATTACCAGTGTCTGACAGGGATGCCAACTTTTCATCAAAAAGGAAGTTAAAAGACAAGCATTGTGTTATGGGACACTTTAATACCAAAATGTGGGAAGGCCACTATCCCAGACTAGACGGGAATCTTTAAATAGAGCGCACGCAGGAAGCTTGGGGGTGAACTGTCCTTCCTGTCCCCTGGTGCAGCGACTGCCACCTCCACCCCAGGCCATTCAACCAGGCTCTGACACAGGCCCTTCAATCTCCCGAGGTCCCAAAAACTGAGTATAGCACTCTCTTGGACCAACTAGTTCCTGCCTCTCCAGGCCCCCTGACCACGCGGCTCTGCTGGGGGCAGGTCTGCTTTTTTTTTTTTTTTTTTTTTAGATTTTATTGGGGAATTGGGGAAGGAACAGACAAGTTGCTGTCTTTTTGTTCTTCAGTCCAGTTGTGGAGGACGTCGCTTCACTGGCCCATGTTGGTATTATCATCGTTGCGCTCTTCCTGGCTGAGGCAGATCAGTCGCCTGCCATTGGACGGCCGCTCATGCCAGCTGCCAGCCACTCACAGTAGCTTATGGCAGCCCACTGCAGCCTACGCCATCGCTGGCGACTCAAGGCAGCCCAGCTCCAGGTCGAGCTATTGTTCACCATCTTAGCTGTAGAGGGCGCAGCGTTACTGGCCCATGTGGGATCGGAACCAGGGCCCTGCTGCTCAGAGCTCGTGCTCCCAAGCCAACTCTTAACCAACGAGCCACTCAGCCGGCCAGCAGGTCTGCTTCTTTTAACCTATCTGCCCCTTTCCTCCAACCCCGTGGGTGGGCAGAGCTCTGCCAAGGCAGAGATGACCTGATCCAAGGAGGAAACAAGCCAGCCTCTGCGGGAAGAGGACTGACTAGCCCCCAGGCACCTTATCTGTGCAGGGGGTCAGGCCATGAGGAAGACAGACCCTCCAAGGCTCCAGGCTCTTCAGGGGACAGGCTTCCTCCCACCTCCACACTTCAGTCCGGGATCCTCCCCAGGCAGCGGTGCCCACCCTGTCAGGTGTCCCTCCCCCAAACCTCTGCCCCCATTGGTTCTCGGGGCAGGATGCTGAGACCAAGGGAATCTGATTGTGCCTTCCAGGACTGATGGTGGCCAAGGTCCCTGGGGGCTTCATGGAGACCACCTTGTGCCCCAGCCCTCCCTCATGCATGGCAGCCCTTAGAAAGCTAAGTGAGGTGACCAGTATGGCAAGCATAAGCTGGAGTGAGGTTTGGGGCGTACTCCTCACGGGTAGGGCTGTAGTAGTGAGGGGTGCCTAGGCCCGGCGCTGTCTGGCCAGCGGAGTGAGCGTTAGGGGTAAGGTAGGAAGAAGGCCTCCACCGTCCCTCAGCCCCTTCTTGTGGAGGTCAGAGAGCCAGCCAGTCACAAAGAAGGTGCTGGTGTCTTCACAGACCTCCTTGGAGACGATGCCTTTGGTGAGGAGGCCACCCCTCCAGGCCAGCCAGCCAGGGGCAGGCCACCCAGTGGCATCTGGGGCCAATGTGGAGCCTTTCTCATTCCAAGGTCTCCAGCTTGCTCCTTCTCCAAAAATGAACCCACTACCTCTGCCTGCCTCTGCTGTGTTCTGTTTGGTTGCGGTCATGTCCTTGGACCCTGCACCAGGCTGGGCTCAGCTGTTCTTCGAAGGGGGACACTGACAGGCTATCCTAGAAGTGGTCAAGCCCAGACAACCAGCACAAGCTGCCGCCCAGCAGGGGAGGAGTGGAGGCGACAGTGAGCACTCCGTCCAGGGCATGGGCTGAGTAGGGGCTTCAGAAGAGAAGGGACAGGCCCCACCCGTGCCCACTTCCTTTGTCGGGGCCCCACGCAGGCCTCACAGACAGACGGCTACAGGATACTACCCCTATCCATCCATCCTTGAGGGGTCTGAGGGCTGGAGGCTGGGAGACTCACCGCAGGCCCACAGCTCTGGGGCCATGCCTCATACCTGCCCTTCCACTGGCTGACACTGCTGTCACCCTGGGCTGAGTCATGACAGCGCAGGTGGCAGCACTGCGCATTGCTGGGGAGTGCATCACCTCTGAGATCTGCGGGGGCCGGTCAGGTTAGAGTCCAAAGCTGCGCAGGCTGCATGTGGGGGTGGATGGACACAAGGGGGTAACTTGAGGGCCTGTCAGCCCAGAAGCAAGGTGGGGCAGTGGGAGCAGAGGTGGTACCCAGTGGGCTGCTCGGGACAATGCGATGCCGGGCCATCACACGGCCTCGTAGCGGCCGCCGTTGGTGAGGCTGCCCCAGCCCCAGGCAAGGCGGTAGTTGGGCTGTGTGTGGAGAGGCGTCTGCTTGTCAGCTGCCTCCTCCAGTCCCGGCCTGGGCAGCGTGGTGGGGCTACGGGACATCAAATGCACCTCCTGGGGCTGCGCCAGGCTGGGGCAGATGGGTGCCTGGAGGGGGCGCTGGCCCCAGGCCCAGATCAGCAAGGGCTCACGGCCAGCCCCGCCTCCCCCCCCCCCCCCCCCCCCACCAGCCTGCAACCCTGTAGAGGGCAGGTGGGGCCCAGGGGGAGGTGAGACTCCAGCCAACATACGATCTGCCAACAGTCAGGAGCTAGACTGTGGTTCCACATGCCACTTTTACTGCTGGACAGCAGTGCTGCTGGGAAGTGAGGGGCAAGCCAGAGAACAACAGGGAGCTTGGGCTGCGGAGCGTGTGCTTGGCTGGGGCTGCCCCTTACTGGGGAGAAGGGAGCTTGGCCAGACCCAGGCCCCCAGGGGCACCCAGGCCCCTGGACCATGCCCCTCAGCCTGTCCTAGCGGGGGCACAGGACGGCCTGCAGGTCCTTGGGCAGGGAGCCGATGACCATCTCGATGTTCAGCTGGGCCCGATGCAGCGTCTCCTCCCTCACGGGGAACTGGTGGCCCTGTGCCCGCACCTGCAGGGGCAGCGGTGGTCAGGGGCAGGCAGCCTCCAGGTCCGCTGGCCGGGCTGGGCAGGGCCAGGAGGCGCCTCACCAGCTTCTCCCGAAGCTTCAGGACCAGGTCCACAACCTCCACCTCGGACTTGTCCTTCATCCAGGTCTCGATGTTCTGCCATGAAAAGACTCGGTCACCCACCACCAGAACCCTCTCCCAGCGCTGGGCCTGGGGCAGCGCCCGGCATCTCACCGCCTCACAGATGGCCTCCAGGTGCAGGGCCTCCAGTTTGCGCACCATCTCTTTACGCCGCTGCCGGTACCAGCCGTCAAAATGGGGGGACTTGAAAAACCGCCTGTGGGTGAGGGGAGGCAGCGGCTGTGGGGCTGAACCCACATGCCAAAGGGTGGGATGGGCACCCTGCACCCACCAGCAGCGGGAGCCTCGGGCCCTGCATGCCGCCCACGCACCTGTAGAGGCCCAGCCAGTCACCCTTGAGGATGCAGGTGAGCTGCGGTCCCGCGTGATCCAGGCTGCGCAGAAAGTCGTCCTGGTGGAAGGGGCGGATCTGGGGAGGGGCCTGAGACAGAGGCTGCTTGAGGGGCGGATACAGCCTCACCAGCCCCGCCCCTCCCGCCAGGACCCTCCCAGTCACACTCCTCAGCCAGGGACAGATTCCAGAGAGGAGAACCTCGGTCCCCACTTCTCTGGCCTGGAAGGGATGTCTGAAACGAGTGGGGAAGCCTGGAGCTCTGGGGGCGCCTGCGCACCCACAACCTCCCTCCTCTAGACTCAGGACGGGAGCGTCCCTCCCCCACACCGACGGCCACCTGGACCTGGAGCCCACCTTCCAGGGCGTGACGCTCTTCTGCAGGGGCATGAGACTGGCCATGTAGTGCTCCTGCGGGGGAAGGGCAGTGAGCGGGGGCCGCAGCCTTGGCCCACCCCGCCTGCCCTGGGCCTCACCAGCGGGATGACGAAGCTCTGCGTGAGCTCCAGCAGGTGCGTCCGCAGCAGCGCGGCCAGGGCTCCTGGCGGCCGCCTTTTCTGCAGGCCCCCGAGCAGCCGTTTGAGCAGTGCCTTGTCGCGGTGCAGGTGGGCCGTGTATGCAGTGTAGAGGCCTAGCGGGAGGCAGAGCTGCGACCCTGCCCCAGGGACCTCCCTCCCTCACCGCCCCCCCACCCTCGGGTTCTGGAAGGAGAGGAGGGGTTCAGCCCGAGGGGCACACACCTGGTTTGGTATCGAGGGTCTTCAGCCTCGAGGGCTTTTTCAGCTTGACCTGTTTAGGAAGACCCCCTACGACACAGCCGTGGCCAGGTCAGTGCCCGCAGGCTCAGACCCAGGACCCTCCGTGTGGACGGCCGACTGCCCCGCCCCATCCCCAGGGACCCCTGGGCAGAGGCCCGGCCAGCCTCACCTGACAGCTTGGGCTCCCCGATGCGGAGGATGTGGGGCCAGTGCTGGAGTGTTTTGATAAAGAAAGGGTTTGTGACTCCCAGGACCACGTTTGGTCTAGAGAGAGAGGAGAGAGAGAGGGAGAAGAGGCAGTGGCAGGCCCCGGGGCGGACGTGGGCGGGCAGAAGGAGCGGCACTTACGGGGCCTGCGTGCGGGTCGTGAACTCCTTGAACTCGCTGTCGTGGACGGTAAAGTAAGGGCGGTAGTCGCAGCAGAACTTGAGGGGCTGCACACAGCTGCGGGATGGGCACAGCGGGGCGGTGAGCACAGCAGGGCGGGTCCTGTGCCCTGGCTCCCCGCCCATCAATGCCTGGCTCACCTGGTCAAGGCCAGCACCATCTCCGAGGACACGGTGGGTGAGGGTGCCAGGACCACCAGGGGCTCCCCGAGGAGCATAAGCTCCCACAGCGTTTGCACCTGGGTCAGCACTGGCTGGAAGCACCTGCCAGCGGGCACGGGAGTCCGAGAGGCTGGGCAGGGCGCAGGCTCCCAGCCCCCCACCTCCCAGGAGGGCTGAGTGTGAATATGGTTTGGAGATGCCGAAGGTGTGCAGGGCCGCCCCACGTTCCGACAGTGCACCCATGCTGGCCTGGCCCTGCGTCCCCCCTGCGAGCCTGCAGCACTGGCTCCTGCAGGGCCCCGCTCCCTTGCAGGCTCCCCGAGAGGGGCCGCCTCAGGCAGTGAGTGTCTCCCACAACACAGCCCTCCTCTCCCCTCCCTGCCTTCCGGAACCTTCCCGCCCACGGTGCCCACTTCCTCTGGCTGCAGACACTGGACACTGGCTTCCTCTTTGGTACCACTCTCCCTGGGAACTGGCCGAGGGTTAATTCCTGGTGGGCAGTCCCCCGCAGCCCTGCCCGGGACTGAAACTCATGGGCTCGCTCACCGTCTGGGAGGCAGCGAGTGGTGGCCTGTGGGGCTCACCTGAACAGGTCCAGCTCATGGACACTGCTAAGGACCAGCGGGGTAGGCAGCAGGTTCTGAGAGGAGGGGTGGGTGGCGTCAGAGTGAGGGCGAGGCTGCCACCAAGCAGGCCCCAAGCAGCATGTCTCAACTGCAGCCTCTGCCCGCACACTTCCCCATGCCCACACCCCCAGCACAGGAGAGGGTGGGAGCACCCAGGCCTGCAGGGACACGCAGGCTCCTGGCTTTGCCTGGGTCTGGTCACCCCACAGCGCCCCCAGCAGGCGGGGTGTGGAGGAGAGGAGGGGAGGGCTGCTGGCCCAGGAGGGCCCCACCTTATGGCCACACTGCTTCAGAGGACTGCAGTCAGGCTTGTCAACCTTGGACGGGACGTGCACCTAGGGGATGAAGGGAGCAGCTGCCAGCGGGCGTGGGTACCTCCATGCCCCTGAGGCCTCCCCAGCCGTGGGCCAACCCTCACCTGCAGGACGACGCCCACGACAGGCAGGTTCAGGGTCTGCCCGGGCTCGGGGGCCGGCCACTGGTCAATCTCATTGCACACTGCGGACGCAGGCGGCGCGCGTCAGGAGCCTGCCCCGTGTGGAGGCCGCCTGCTGGAGCCAGGGTCGCTATGGCCAGGCAATGGGCCCTCTGGCCTTGCCTGGCGGCCACTCACCTGCTTCCAGGCAGGGTGCTAGCTTGTCGAAGAACTCGGGGGCAATCAGGCCCAGCAGTGCCTGGAACAGCCGGACAAAGGGCAGGCGGGACACCAGCACGAGCGACTGCAGGGCCCACGGGCCAGTGAGAGGTCAGCCCAGCACTCAGGAGCCCGCCTCCTCCACAGTGCACCCAGGGCTGCGTGTCCCACCGACTCCATAGGACAACTGTCCCCAGGAATGGCCCAACTCAGACCCCAGGCTTATTAGATGACAAAACCCACAGCCTGCCCCAGACAGGGCAGGGATCCGCTGACATCAGGGCGGGGCTGGACCCCAGGCCTTTAGAGAGCAAGGGGTGCAGCGGATTCCTGGGACGATCTCCCAGGGGTCAAGCAGTTCAAGACTGAAGCTGTCCTAATCCCGAGAGTGTGATGAGGCCCCTCCAGCCAGCAGTGAGGGGAAGGGACAGACAGGCCGCAGGTGCTATGTGGGGCAGTCGCACTCCCAACCCTGCCCGCTGCCCGATGGGGCAGTCAAATGGCCCGGGGCCGTGTGCTCCACCTGGTGCCAAGTGGCGCAGGCCGAGGAGTGGGTGCACCCGGAGGCCCAGCTCAGCAGTCCCTCCCGACGGCCGCCAGCCCCGCCCCTCAGCAGAGCCACCCCAGGTGCTCACCTTCTGGAAGTAGCCCCTCTTCATGGAGCTGTCCTTCACCTGCCTGAAGTACACATAACCGAAGTAGTGCGAAGACTCCTTCTGGAAGTAACGGTCAGCCAGGCTGCGCCCACTGCGCCCCCGACCACCCTGCAGAGGCTGCTCCATGCTCTCCCCAGCCATGGAGGTCAGGCCTGTGGGTCCTCAGCTCAGAGGCTGGGCGACACCTCCAGAGAGGACACGGCAGCCCAGGGTCCTGGAGCACCTGAAGGCGCACACCGGCCTCCACACACAAGCCACACCCTCTGCACGCATGGTACACAGGAAGAGCTCCAGGGACCCTGGGGGTCCGCAGAAGAGCTGGTCCACCCCCATCAAGGCTGGGCTGCCAGCCTACAGGCCTGCGGGCCTTGTGGGAGGTGGACACCCTACTGGCTGGGGCTGGCCAGCGCCTCTCCTGCCACCCAGGGGGCAGGCACCTTGAAGGAGCCGCTGCCCCGTCCTGGTCCTGGCCTGTGGGGAGGAGGCCACAACACCTGCAGCCCATGCTCACCTGCAGTGACACGGGGGCCCCACTGTCATAGTGTCTGTCATCGGTGGGCCAGGGGCTCCTCTGTCCTCCACACTGACGAATTCGGAAGCTGAACTGCGTGTCCCCAAGGCAGCCTGGGTAAGGGAGGCAGCCCCCACCATGCTGCCATGTCAGGGCTGGAGCATTTCCTGCCACCATTTGGGGGCAGGGACAGCAGGAACGGGGGTGACGGCCGTTGAGGCCGGCCTCTGCTGGGCTATAAGGGCCCAGAGAGCAAGCCCCACCCACCCGCTGGGCCTGATTCTCCCTACAGAAGTCCCTGTGTCCTACCTCCTACACCTGAGAGTTTCAGGGTAAAGTCTGCACCCAGAAGCACCAGCAGCAGCCTACTGTCCAAGCACAGGTGGGCATCGGGGAGACTACGGTGAGGGCAGGCTCAGCTTACCCAGACACCTGGGCCCCAGGAAGAGCAGAGCCTGGGACCCAGATCCTGGAGGTTACTGTGGTGGGGTGACGGAGACCAGACCCCGCTGGTCCCCGTGCACACGAAAAATGGGAACCAGGCCGCCACTGCTGTGTTGTGGGGCTCTGGGTGTCTCCACGGAAGGAGGAGGGGCTGGCGTTTACAGGATGTGATGCCCCTGGCTTGGGCCACAGGGGCTCCTCGATGGCCTCACCTCCCCACCTTCTTCCTCTCACCCATCAGCCCGAGCCAGGGAGAGTTGGGGTCGCCTACCTGAGTGGGAGTCAGGAAAGGACAGGTAGCAGATGCTGCTTTTCTGAAACACACGAAACCCAGTGAGGGCTGGCTCGCTTCTGGGCGATGTCTGCTCCCCAGAGGGCCGGGACCCACCTCCTTGTCTGTGAGCCGGAAGTCGCTGGGGTACACCAGCTGCAGGGGACACAGAGCACTCAGTAATGGCTGGGCAGGTACAGTGCTGGGCCTCTCCTATCTTTGCTGGCTCAAACCCCTGCCCTTTTCCACCTCTTCTCCTCTTCTCCCTCCAGCTCCCCCGACCTCCCAGGCCTCTCAGCACGAGGCCGTCCCATTCTTCCCTTGCCTAGGCCAGCACATACCTGGGCAAGCTCCCCGACTCCCTGCCTGCACCCCTTGCCCTCGAGGTCACTCGCCCAGACTGGTTGGGCCTCCCTGCTCCACCGTCCTGACGGTCCAGCCCCACAGCTTGAAGTGGTGGCCTCCTCTGTCACCTGGAGCAGTCACAGGGCCCTGTCCGCGAGGCTACCTTCCCCACCGTGTCCACCTCCAGAACCCCACCCCACCCAGCTGGAGGCTCTTACGGTCTGCCATTCCCCCAGGCTGCTCTCCCAGATTGGGCCTGGCCAGCCTCCTCATCTTGTCTGGACTTAAATGTCACCTGACACAGTCGTACCCCTGCCTCTCCACAGCACCTTGAGCGTCTTCATCCCAGCCCCTGCTAGTCAAGGGCCCAAGAGCTTCTGGCCTGTGCCCCACCTGGAGTGTGAGCCCCAGGAGAGCGCCCTGGGCCCTGGCAGTATCCAGCGAGTGTGACCAGCTAGACAAGCCGTACACCCTGGGAGTGGACGGTCAGCGAGAGCACAGACACTAGGCAACAGGCAGCAGGCCAAGGCCGGGGCTCAGACCCACAGCAGCATGCACACGCACGTGGCCAAAATGCATTTCCTTGTGGGCACCAAAAGGCAGGGAGCCACAGGGCCCCCACTCCCACCAGGCCCCGAGGTGTCTCCTGGGGAGCTGGTGTGGCTTGGGCTCACTGCAGCCCTGGCCTGTGCTCAGAGGTACCGGGCCGGCTCTCCCGGGAAGCGGCTGTGCTGAGCCCGCAGGGCCAGGGGCCCAGGGCCTGCACACGAGGGCCCCTCTCACTCCACCTGCTCGACTCCTGTGCAAGGACAGAGCTGGGCTCAGCTGCAGTGAGACTTCCTCTGGGGGTGCCCCGGGCCCGTCTGCCCCAGAGACACTCTGCCCTGAAACTTGTGCTGTGGGAATGACGCAGCATCCTGTTCACATGCACTCTGGGCTTGCTGCTGTGGTCCCATTCTGTCTCCTGGGCTGCATACAAGGTGTCCTGAGGATGGGGACTGCATCCCAGCCCCTGGCAGGGACAGACATCCCCAAATATGTATTTGTACAGAGTGACACGACATCTGTGAGGTATACTAGAACAGGGTGTCACATGGACGCCTCAAGGAGATGTCAGCTAAGGAGGCAGTAAGAAGGAAGGGCCAAGAGGGAGGGGAGCCAACGGTGTCTGTCTGTAGGCTGGACCCCCAGAGGCACTTTGGGACAGTTCCAAGAGTGGCAGGGGCCATAGGACCACTCAGGACATGCCCTCGTGTGTATATCCAGCAGAGCTGAGGAGAGGTGGGTGCCTGGCGGCCGAGGCAGGGCCACAATGGACCTTCTGTGCTGAGGTCAGTGGTCTGAATCTAGTGAAAGCCACAGGACTCTTGCAGCATCTGAGCCGGCCACCTCCAAACCACGTCCAGGGACCCCAGGAGGACACCTGACGGGTGACACATGTTCAGGGGCTGGTGCGTCCTCTCCTGGGAGCAGAGTCTAGAGGTCAGGCTGACCAAGCTGGGCCATGCCTTCACGAGGGAAGACATGCAGTGGACCCTCAGAGAGAGGCAGAGAGTGGACTTGAGCTGCATGGTGACCCCGTCCACCCCAAGCCAATGAGGGTCTGTCCTTTCCTCCTGAGCCAGCCTGCATGGGCTGCTGCTGTGACCCAGTCGTCCCTGAGGATGACACGTGCAGCAAAGTTTGCTGTGAGAAGCCCCCTCCAGGACAGTGCTTCCTAAGGTGGCTGGGTGCTCCAGGGCTCCGTGAGGTCCAAGCTGCCTCCCTCACTCTTGTGCCGTTTCCAGAGGCTGCGAGACAGACCATCATGGGATGCTGACTACAGAAGCTGACGTAATAATCCAGCGGCTTTGTATTTGGCCAGATATTAAAAAGGTTTGTAAAAGTGTCAAATGATGTCACTCTTCTCACCAAATTTTGTTTTGGAAAATGTGGTTGTTTTCATGAAAACATTAATACTTATATTAATACAGAGGGCACTTGTTTTACATAACGGATTACTAAATATTTTTAAATTTTAGTTTCAAGTAAACATTGGTACATACGACCCACTCAGAAAGCTCTTTGGGGTCCTCAGTGATTCTGAGGACTGAAAAGGGTCCTGAGACTACTCAACACAGGAGCTGCAGCCTGGGAGGGTATGGACAGCACAGTGGACAAGGGGCTCTTTGGGACCTCTGGCCGCAGGCCACTCCATGGCCTCCCGAGTTAGCTGAGATACTGAGATGCTGCATGGTGTAGCCAGGCCCTCTTCTCAGTTGACCTGCACTGTCCTGTCCCCACCACGCCTGACCCAAGGCTTCAGGGTGCAGTGGGGGATCCTGAACCACTTACTCTCTGGGTCTCGGGCACAGAGTATGAACCCTTAGGGAGCAGGGCAGCTCCTCAACTTTGCTTTCGATGGCTTTCTGTGGGGAGGGGTTACCCTGTGGCTGGTGGAAAACACGCTGCCCTGTGGGTGGGGTGGGGAAGAGTACTGCAGGCAGAGGCCCGGGGAGCTGGGTGCAGCTGACCAGTGTGGCTAGAATGTGACCCACAGGGGTCTGGATCAGAAGGAGTTAAGCCTGCGAACTACAAGGTTGGACTTTAGGAGACAGGAGGGGGTGCCAGCAGCAGAGGGGATGGATCTGAGATCCTTGTTGCAGGTGGAACTTCATTCAGCCTAATCCACGGATGAGATGTGGGCAGGGGTCAAGGCGGACCCCTAGGATTCTGGCAGGAGTGACAGAAGGGAGAAGGTGCCACAGCCAGTGTGGGGAAAGTGGGGAGACAAAGTTCTACGGAGGAAAAGTCCAGAGTATCGCTTTGGCTATAGAAAGTGCAGGGCTCCCGTCTCCTCCATCCCAACGGGAAGTCTTGCTTTTCGTTCCCTCACTGGAGAGCGCACCTCTCAGGAGGTGACAGGCGCAGGGTTTCGGAGCAGGGACAGGCCACCTGCGGTGTCTGCCCTACTGTACCTCACGCGCAGGGGGCTCGCGGCCGCCTGGCGGCCCCCACCCGGCACACCCCGCCCGGCCCCGCTCACCTCCAGCGCCTGGCCCACCTCCAGGTCGAAGGTGACCACGCACACGCACTCCAGCCAGGCCGAGAAGCGCGCCCAGGGGGCCGCCGGAGCCTGCGCCCCGGAGGACAGCGCACCGAGGCGGCCGCGAGCCGGGCGAGAGCCGGCGCTGGACAGAGCGTCCATGGCAGCTGCTGCAACGGGCGGCCCGCGCGTTGCCGGGGAAACGGCCCGAAGACGTTGCCGGGGAAACGGCCCGGAGGCGGCGGCCTCGGCGTTCGTCGGCGGCCTCGGCGTTCGTCGGGACCGCGCCGCGGAGCAGTCGAGCGGCGGTCGCGGGCCAGAGGGGCCTTTCCGTGGCCTCGCCCGCCCCTGGCGGCCGGAGGAGCGCAGTGCAGCCGAGAGGCCCCGAGCCCACCAGTGAGAAGGGCCCACGCGGGCCAGAGCGGCCCGCAGTCCGGAGGCGGGACTTCCGGCGGGGCCGTGTGTGACTGGGAAAGTCGGGTCAGGCGGAGGTCGGGGTCCACGGGCGCCGCGGGCGCGGACTCGAGGAGGTGCGACGCCGAGGGCGCTTTCCCCGGCCGGCGTTCGTTCCGAATTTCTTCGTCACTGAGCTCGCATCCCACCAGCCAGCCGACTCCGGTCTCCCTCGCGTCCGCTCCCAGGGGCCGCCTCTAGGTGTGGGTCCTGCAGAGGCGTCAAGGCCTGGGTCGTGTCTGCCCACCGGGCCGTCGTTGTCTCCCACGGCCTGGTCGTCGGTGCGTGCGGAATGCGCCCACGCCCGTCCCTCTGCCTCTCGGGTCCGCACCCTCCCCGGTGTTTCTGTGCCCGGAGGGGCTGCTGAAACCGGGCAACGCATGCAGCAAATACCACGAACAGAAAGCCACCTCTGCCGTTTCCGCCGCCGTGGGGAAGTGTGACGCTCCGGTTTAACCTAATTGATGTGCCGTGTGTTCTAGCTTTTTGGTTTTGTTTTTAATGATAACCCCCCACTCCAAGGTTAGGCTGAGCCAGGCTGGAGTGACAGCCCCGGCTCAGCTACTAGCGGGCTGGTGGGAGACAGTGCCTCACTACTGCACCTCCGAAGCACATGGTCTCGGAGGTCACTGGCGGCGGGAGATGAACGAGGCCCATTAGCTGTTAAGTTCCTTGCCTACAAGTGATGTATGCATCACCTCTACTTACAAGCCCACGGGCCCAAACTAGTCATGTGGTTCCAATCTAGCTGCAAGGGAGCATGGGAAATGAGGCTCATGGATATTTGGGAGCCACAAAATTATGATCCTTACGTCACTGAACTTAAGATACCGTTATTTTATAAATCACCAAAGAGAAACTGCAACCAATTACACAGTGATGAGTAGTCAAATGTCTTTAAATTTTCCATTATGGAATGTTCAAACCTACAGAAAAGATAAATGAAGCATATAATGACCATTTACCAACTATCTATTGTAGAATCTCCCATCAATAATTAGCATTTTGTTGTATTTTATGCCTTATCTCTACATCTGCCCTTTCCATCCCTCAGAACATCTTATTTTTAGATTCATTTCAAAGACAGTTGAAGACATCAATGCGCTTACCTCTAAATACTTAATTTAAGTATGTGTATTGTTAACTACTATTTTTTTTTAGATTTTTTTTCTTCTTTGGGGGGAGCGTATATAGTGACATTCATGAGTCTTTTTTCTTAAGATTTTATTGGGGGAGGGAAACAGACAAGTTGCTGTCCTTTGGTTCTTCAGTCTAGTTGTGGAGGGAGTTGCTCACCGGCCAATGGACGGCCACTCACGGTGGCTCACAGCAGCTCACG